TAATGCTTCTGATGGAGGGGGGTCACACTCACAGAGTGAAATTTGACTTTCACCATGTTGCCCCTTGTATGAACAGGTAACGCATGCAGACCTAGGCGTAGAATATAACCCATAAACCCTACAGGATTATTGGCATATGCACTAATTATTGACCAATTTTTAAAAAGTATGCCCTCTCAGGAACCGCAGAACATAAATACAAGCTGTGGTTGTGCATTAGCTGTGCATGAAGTCTTCCTAAAGCAAAGGAATCAGAGTATCTTTAGCAAAAAACAGATTTTTCGGTTGACCGTGTCAAGCAAAATCCTGAAAGATTATAAAATGCTTGCAAATATGTTAGTTTATATTTTTGGCAGTTTTACACACGAATACTGACGGTTTAATCTTTTTAAAACTTCCACAATCCCATGATTTCGTTTGACCTTATGTCTGAGCAAATAACCATATACTAACTGGATTTTTTGAAACAACAATGATGCACAAAGACTAGTCTTGACAACTCTCAATTCTTCTGTTTGAATACTGCCATGATCAACCTCACCGTTTGTATCACAAGGGAGGTCCTCTCGTACATATTTTGAATGAAACCGCATAACTATAATTTGTGTAATTTTATTTATTTTTTGAGAAAGTATTTCATTTCTATTACACCAACACTGGTTATTGTAACTTAAAAACTAGGTGAGTATTTATTCACTTTAAGCTTATCTGATATAAGTGGGCCAATCTGCCTTCTCCTAACATTGTGGTTTACATCAACGTGAATGACGACCCTGAAGTTCAGGACTTTTTTATCCGAGGTGTCGGTGATTTTTGGCGATAAATATTTTTGTCGTTGGTTTAATTTGGATAGTCTTTACACTGTCACCCCAGGTCCATATCTGCTCAGAATCTGCAAAATAACCATGCTGATACTTTTTCTTCTATAAAAGAAATTTCGAAACAGAATGAAAAAATGGCACATTAGTATTTTGCAAGGTGTTTCAACACGCGTGTGGTTATTTTTTTTATCCCAAATCGTAATATGTAAAGCAAAGCAAAATATAATAAGAATAAAACCATTCTGGTGTTTTATGCAAAGCTAAATATGGAAAGTTAATCTAAATTGTCGATCGCTTGCCATCATTGTCGCCAACACCAAACTAGAGTTGCGCGAACTACTGTTCCGGGAATCAAGATTTTATGCTGTAAGACGTTTGCTATCAATCTTCGACGCCAGATATTTGTAAGTGAATTGAGCTAAAAGAAATAAGTTGACACTCATTTGCTAATTGTAATTGGCCATAAAACCCTACTACTTTGAACTTCTAACGCTTAATCAGTTTAACAATGCTCCTCCACTTCATGTATTTACAAAATTTAAAAAGCACGTATTAAGAGGCTAAACGGAATCCTGATTAGTGGTTAAATAACCTTTAGCAAATCTGCGGATAGCAAACGACTACTGGCCAATGCCAGCCGATTAATTACAATAACTTTGGACTGCAACCTTTTTTGGAATTGGACTATGCGCTTATGCACATTCCTTGCTGGGCCAAATAAATACTGTAAACGGATATATACACAGAAATCCGAAGTCCTTCACCCGCAAGTGCCTCCAGAAGCCTCGCGTTCATCGGTCGAGCGAAGATATCCAAAATTCTGGCTCGCCATCCCCTACGTGAAATACGTTTCAGAGGCGATTGCACGAATCCTAGAACCCTTTGGGATTGGAGTGGCGCATAGACCAG